GTCGGAACGAGCTCCACGGAAAACGGCAATTTTAGGGTTCAATAACGGGGTAAAATTCACAATACGAACCCCTGAATAGAGAAGGGGCAATTTTATATTGATAGCCTTCGGTGAAATAACCTTATTGCCCTTTACGAATTATTTAACTTTAAAGTCACACCTTTCCAGCTCACAAGGTGACTCACCTCATTAAGACCACATGTCAACCTGTCATTGGTTTACAGACAAGGGGCACCAAAACCCCTTCAAATAAAAGGGCACCGGAGCAATAGCCATTAAGTTCGTATACCATACCCATTGATAAGCACCTTCTTGAGTTCCATCCAGCACTGTAACAGCATCAACGTCGGATTTCAGGCTACTCCTGTCCTTAAGCAAATCCCTTACCTTAAATCAAAAAAATTCAAAGCAACAAAAAGTTAAAACAAAAGAAATTGCACATAGCTGTTAAAACCATTGAAATAGAGAGACACAGTAGCAGTCACCGCTTGCAAGATCCTATCCGAGGTATCCCCTTCCAAAGCCCTCAAACCCGCAGTTGCCTGCAATAGCACATGGATTCAGCACAAATCTCCCTTCAGAGAAACCCTGACGTAAATTAACACACACATCAATTCAGTAAACACAAACATAACAAAAATAAACCACCCACCCCAACTCGAACCGGTGTCTTGGATCGCAATTCACGAGGAACAACACTCTCCGCTTTATCCAAAAGCGAAACCAAAGATTCCGCTGCCTCTTTCGGATTCTGAGCGTACGCACTCAAACCCGGTTTAATCTACAAAATACAAACCTACACTATCAAACCAAAAACACAAGCAAATAAATAACTTAATAAACAAAAAGGGCACCAAAATACCTCCATGGTGTTTTATTCTATCAGTTATCTCCATCTAACCGATTGACAATCATGACACCCTTTTAAGACCTGGTGTTGGGGTGCAGGATAGGTTAAAGTCAAGCAAAGAAGCCTGAGTCAGATCAAATAGTCTCGACTCTCGATGCTACTTGACTTATGGCCCTTGGGAAAATAGCATGTTTGCAAGGACTCTAACAACCCAAAGACCAAAAGCCAGAGGACATACTAGATCTTATGTCCTAGAAGCCAGAACCAAATACATGAAAATAAAAGATGCTCCATTAGGCCCTGCAGCATAAAAAAACTAATGGAAGCCCAACTCAAGGAGTCAAGGTGCATAGTCAGATTTTCATGCAGCTTCATAGGTTGTAATGAATTTCTTCAGTCAACGCATGTTAACTTCTTGTGTTTAATTTTACTTCCACAGTCGATTCTACAATAATATGACCCTGCATTGCAAGCAACTATCAATTCAAATTTTTCTCTGCAATCAAAGGGATCACAGCAATGGCTTGAGTTTCTAGCTCCAGTTGCGGAATTTATACCGAACTCGTGAGGAAACACACAAGTACCTGAGTTCAGCTCTAGTATTTCAACATTCACACAGGTTAACTGCTAGTAAAGGAGCAATGACGTTTAGATCACTATAATCTGACAACTAGCAAACTTGGGTTGTTATGAATTGCACAAACCTTGTAGCTCTCGTGATTAGTAAGTTGAAGTCTGGTTATAAACCAAGAATAGAGCATGCCATCCACTTATATACATTCAAATTTAAAAGGTATGCTGGCCAACAAGCATCATCTTCATAGATAAAGTACTAGTGTCATTGAAACTCTTGTCAAATAAGGATTTACTGCTCCCAAAAAGAAAAACCCCGTTCTCTTGTTACTCTTCTGGTCTCAGGTTCCTGAAGATAAGCTTTTTCCCTGTCAAATTTACTTGGTACGGCCTTCACTTTCTTTTTAAGAGTATCATTTTCCAGTTGATTAGGTTCTAAATCTGTCTCCTGGCCCTCTATTGCCGGTTTCCTAGAAACCCATGCCTGAAGCATTTCTTCAGTCTTTGGTTCAGGAAGGAAGCCTTTCTCTTCCATCTCTGCATAATATCTGTATGCTTGCTCCAACTTTCCATTGAGAAACAGCCCATGAATCAGTACTATATAAGAACTTCGATCATGGCTGATGCCATCTTCTCTCATTGCATCCCATATCTTGAATACATCATCAAGCTGGCGCCAGCGGCAAAACTTTCTTATCAACATTATATAAGTCTCAATGGTTGGGTAGCATCCCAGCTCTTTCATCTTGTCCAAGAGCTCAAATACTTCTTCCTTGGTCCTTAACATACGGAAGAAAGCATGAAAAGTTTGAATTGTCGGGGATAGGCGCCGCTCCAGCATCTCATCAAAAAGTTGTTTTGCTTCATCAACTTTGTGGGCCTTGCAGAGAGGCTTGATCAGGGAGTTGTAAGTAACAACATCTGGAGTTACATTGTTCTCTTCCATTGTTGCAATGATATTGGCAGCTTCTTTCACAAGCCTACCCTTTGCAAGAGCAAAAATGACTGCATTATAAACCTTCCTATCTGGAGTGATCTTCTTTTTCTTCATCTCATCAAACATCCTAAGCACCTTATAAAGTCTAGAAGATTTTGAATAGCAAGATATGATACTTGCATAGGAGACAACATCGTGTTGGATCCCTCTCTTGCTCATCTCCTGCCATATTCTTTCTGCCTGAGAAACACTAACAATCAGATTACACCATCCATTCAGAATGATGTTAAAGCTTTTGATGTCAAGTGGGAATACATTCTTGTTGCAGAACAGTAAGTGTTCAGCATCTTGCACATTCTTATACCGACAAAGGGCAGAAAGAAGGCTTTGAAATTCCTCTAGCCCAACATGAAAGTTAAATCGTTTATAAGCGTAGAAAGTATTGATAGCTCTTGCAACATCATGTACAGCACAGTATCTCCTGATCATAATCAACAGGGTTTGAGGAGTGACAAGAGATGGACCAGTTCTACCTCCTCTCATTTCCTCAATTAATGTCCAAGCAGTATCAAACTTCCTCATCTTGCCAAGGATACAGATCATAGAATGGTACTCGCGAACCGAATGAACATACCCAGAGTGCTTGCCAGCCCACAAGAAAAATGTGAAAGCTGATTCCCAATCATTGCGAGTTCTCGAAAGGACCTCCACAACCACCTCTGATGATAGCACAACACTGCAATGCTCAAGCTTGTGCTTAATTTCAGATGGTCCAGAACCCACTTCATGCATTATATCCAAAATGATTTTAACATCTTGGGCAATAGCATCATCCCTTAAATGTAATTTTTTTTTGCCATGACCATCATCCTCATCCTCATCCCCATCATTATCATCATCACTCAAGTCCTCATGTGCAGGGGCATCAGTTACCACCCCAAGGCTTCTGGTTGAAGATGAAGCAGAAAAGTGCCTAACTGAGAAACCAAATTTTGGTAGTGCAAAGAAAGTTTCAGACTTAAAAGGGTTAAAGAAATTGAAAATAGCACTCATAACGGGCTCCTCTACTACATGACAGTGATTAAACGCGAGTGAGTTATGGCCGATGCGTGATAGCACACCAGAGAAAACGGGTAAGTTAAATCTGATTCTGATCATGATTGACAATAAGCAATGCACACTTCAGTCTATCGAAAGCTGATAGAGCGTCAAAATAAGATATCCCAAATTTCCTAGGTTAAGGTTGAGCGAAAGGTGTTTGTGAAAATGACCAAGAGAAACTCAAAGCTAACATTACTCGTAAATCAAAAGTCTAGACGTTAAGCAGGAAAGTGAGGAAGCGAAACACGATTCTACTGATCAAAGTTGGGCCACTCCTTCTTCCTTGTCTGTTGAGAAGTTTTTGTTGATATATACGAGGCAACCTAAAGAATGGAGCATTTTAGATTGGGCCCAATTGAGATGACAAAAGAATCTAGACAGATGATAAACACACCTCCACTCTTATATAAACACACCCCTTTTTTAAAAAAATATATATAAAATATCTAAATTACCCTTAAAAAAAAAATTCTTAATTTTACACCCCCTTCCCCACATCCCCTTGCCCGCACCCCCTTCCCCTTCCCCGCATATCTTCCCATTGTGTGTATGACATAAGTAAACTTGCGTGACCTTTTCGAAGAAAGCAAACTAAATCTTGAAAGCAATCAAAGTTAACAGTAATAACTAATAGCTATGTTTCTCACAAAATCTGCTAGTTCAATCAGATTGAAAGAGAAAAAGAAAGAAAATAATTTCCAAAAGAAGTTCATATATGAATATAAATGCAGAAAGGTAGATGAAGAAAATTTTATCACGCAAATCATTAAACTTAACTCCAAAGTTTTACTCTGACCCTGGAATATGCCGAAGTAACTATTTTGTGTTCGTATTTGTACTAATTCTTGAAAGACATACCAACTAAAGTAGAAACAAAATCATAGGCCACCCATAATAGAATATCTCTGTCAAGAAATAATAGAATTCAAATTATATAAAATCTTAGATTCACTTCCACTGTCTCGAATCATCTCAGTTAGATTTGTTAAAGAAATTACGCAAAGCCGCAAAGGGTATTGAGCAATGACGAAACTGTGAAATCGAAATAGATAAAATTGCAAACCAAAAAAAAAAAAAAAACAAACAAAGATTTCAGATCAGTACATTGTTTATCCATGATGAGTTCCAAACCCTCATATTCACCTGTCACTGACAATAGAGCAAATAATACCATCCTTAAGATTAATTGCAATGTCTGATTTTAGATCAGTACATTGTTTGCGAGGAAGGGGAGTGCGGGGAAGGGAATGCGGGAAGGGGGTGTAAATTTAGGAATTTTATTTTTTTTAAGGGTAATTTAGACATTTTTTATATATTTTTTTTAAAAGGAGGTGTGTTAATACAAGAGTGGAGGTGTGTTTATCATCTGCCAAGAATCTATTTCTCAAAAATCCATTCAGTTCATATATGTAAAATTTAATTTAATTTGCCTAATTATTTTGATAAAAAAAACTATTTGAATCAAAATAAATGAATTATATAATTAAATGAATGAATAATAATTTATTCATTTTATTTCAAATTCAATAGATCATTTAATTAAAATTTTGTGAATTTAATGGATTATTGTCGATTATAAACTAAATAAAATTTGTCTAATTCATCTATTTGAGCATACTAAAATTGACCATCTCTTTACAACCATTATATATTCTTAATCCTTAATACATATTCCTAATCCTTAATACATGCAAACTCTAATGAAATCATCATGCCCTCAAACAGAAATAATTATAAAATTACCTATAATCCTATGGGATTCTTCCTTTACTCAATTCTCTCATGTAACTTTGCATACAAATAATCTCCTTTTCTCCCGTACCTCGATAAGCAATAGTTAAAACTAAAGCAAGATCTAGTTGGTTTCCTCCTCTGGGTTCCACTCGGTCTTCAGAGAATGTAAAAGAAAAGAAGTCAGAAGTGAAATTTGTGCTTTTGGGAGTGCCAGAGCATGCTATTTATAGGCTTCAGGAGTAGCCGGAACGACCCGTTTCAAATTCGGAACGGCACGTTCTAGACTCATTCGTCACATGTAAAATTCACATCCAGAACGGCCCGTTCTCAAATCAGAACGGGTTGTTCTAGATTTGCATTTTACCCATAACATCCATGTTTGGAACGACCCGTTCTCAAAGCAGAACGGTCTGTTCCCAACTAAGGTTACAAGTCTTTTTTGTTAATTTAGAACGCCCCGTTTCAGTTGGGAACGAGCCGTTCCAAACTAGAGTTTATAAGCCTTTGCAGTAGTTTCGAAGGCCCCGTTCCAGTTTGGGAACGGCCCGTTCTGAACTACTATATCACCCTTATTGAACTTTTGAGCCTTTCATATAATTTATGCGTTCAAAATTTTGCAGATAAATCGAATCTCAGAAAATAACTAGCAATTTGACGAAATAGATAATTAGGGAGACGAATGGACATGAAAAGGAGATAGAGGCTGTCGGAAAAGCTTACCGGAGAATGATCGGTGGTTCGCCAGAGATTGATCGGAGGAGAGGTGGCGGAGAAAGCAACAAAGTTAGCCCAAATATTACAACGAATCAATCGAAGAAGAAGAAAGGAGAACCAAAGTTAGTTGGGTTTCACCCAACTTGTGAGTATTTACGCAATTGCCATGGAATTATTGGATTGACATTTCTGACCTCAACCTGAAGTGTTTAATTACAAAAGTACCCTCTCGTTGGATGAGAGCACGGAAAAACGTACTTATTCGAAGAGGGTTCATGAATCATGACTTAATTCTTACTATACTTGTCTAATATTCATATTAGATTCATTTGTCAAATATTTTTCTTAATTTTGGAGAACATGTATAGGGACAATCCGGTTCAGTTGAAAAAACTTCATTAAACTTTAAAGACAATAAATTTTTTCAGATATAATTTTTTTATTTAAAACTCAAACTAAAAACTATTAAGTTGAAATAATACTACCTTAATTCGCATATGTAATATTTATTAAATAAATTGAGTTAAAGAATTTTGAAGAATTTATTTAGTTTAAAAGTCAAAGTTAGACTATGAAAAATGTTTTTATATTTAGTAGACTATTTTTTTTAGAAACTACAGATAATATAAAAGATAATTTTGTTTGAATTAAATAAAATTATTATAAATGACATAGTTCTCCATTAAAATATTTAAGACAACTACACAACCATTATTTACACTCAAGATCTCTAATTAGATTGGAATAATCTCATGTCAATCTTTTTAATGCGCTTTTCTAATGTGTATGATGGTTAAATTATTGAATTTAAATGGAGAGGAAAAAAAATACATATAGGGAATTTATTCTAATTCCCTTAAAATCTCCTTGAATTACATCTAATGCTTACACATAAGGTTGTTTTTCTCACCTTTCACAATTATATAAGAAAAATATCAATATAAGAAGAAGAAAAATATATAACTTTAAGCTGTAACTTATAATAATGGAAATGTATCACTTATGGTCATTATTATTAAAAATACTAAATATATAACAAAGTATTTAGATATTTAGAGAAATAGAGGTTATTCTAGTCTTAGTCATTTTTTAAATCCATTAGATAATGAAACACCACATGCATATTATTATAATAATCCTTTATTAATTATTTTATTAAGAACTAATAAAATATGTTTATTATGATTCAAAATAATCGACTATTATTTTATAATAACTTTATATTATTAAAAATAATAATTAAATTAATAAAATAATTAAACCAATCATAATTATTATATGAATTACATGATATTTTTTTTCAACAAATTAAGCTTACAAATATTCTTAGAGGACAAGAAGACAATATTTTTAACTTTACAATTATTACAATACTTTTCTAAGCAACCATTTTTGAGCAGTATTCTGATGAAGCATTTAGATACAATCATCTATGTACATGGTGATTTTTGTGAGAAGGTTTTCTAATGTAAATCAAAAGCAATTTAAAAGTTTTTATTTTAGATTTAATCATGACAGATTTGTGTTCCACCATTCTGATGTGCAACTTGTTGCAATAGGTTATGTCTACCACTATATTTTATTTATTTGTGTAATACTCCGGTTTTCAAAAGATAAAACAAATATAAGAAATTATTTAATTAGAGTATTTTTAAAGTTAAAAGTTAAGTTAATTGGATTTCATGACTAATGGTTAAAAATAAAATAAAATAAAAATGGCCTTTGAAAATAAAGAGAGCTAAGTTATTTGGTTTTAGTTTCTATTAGTTAGTGATGACAAATAAACTTATACATGTGAATTATGTCCAAACTTGTCCTGCCTTTGTTAAGAATATCATGTTTGATTGAACACGAGTATGAGTAATATCGATTTATTAAATTGTGCATGGGTATAGGTACTTACCCACTTCGTATGACCCCATCCCAATCCTTACTTTAAATTTGTAGAAATTTAATTTACCTTTTTTAGAATTTATTTGAGATTTATATAATTCCAACTCTATTATAAATTTATGTTAGATAAAACTTATTTAATATAATTTTGTAATTGTTACTATAAGTTGGAATTATTATTATTATTTTTATATATTTTTTATAAAAAAATTAATTAATTTTTGGACAAATACAATATCCAATATCTGACGAAGATGAAGATGAGATACGAATTCTACACTCGTTAAATATGGGGACGAGGATGGATATATGATACGAATTTGGGGATGAGGATATTGAAACCCGAACTCGCTCTATCTTGATGTCATCCCTACTAGTAGCCCAATAGACTTGGTTAAATAAGAAGTAGAGTTATTAGTTAGCGTAATACTCTCTTTTTGTTCTTTCTTTTTGGGAACACTCTCTTGTTGTTAGAACCACATGTGAAGGAACTTAGAACTAGAGGAGGGGGAGATCACACTTTAGCACCCTTGCCTCTGTGGAAACATTTTCGAAGTTAGGAGGAGTAACTTATTTTGCTCATGAATGTAAAATAAATTTAATTATTGAGGTTGTCTCTCAACCCCATAAGTTCTATAATTGTATGTGTTTAGAGGGTTTTGAGTACCCTAAAAGTGTGATGGATTGTATAGTTATCCATTAACTAGCTTTGTGGATAACTAGATTATATCTAGTCTTGTCCCTAGTATGTTTTTGTGATGGGATGGATTGTATGAATAGACTTTAACTTATATTACCCTAATTTGGTACTTTAGCTTTCATGAGGTTGACAAATGGAATTAATTTTAATTATGTGATAATTGTTTCACCAATTGAGTTCTTTATATTTAAAGGAAATAAGTAATTTGTACTTTATTTAGTTAGATTTAAGATTCGCGATATGCAACTTACAAATTTGCTTTCGCATTGTTTGGGCATGTAGGGGTAAGAGCACGAGGGCTAATAGAAGCATATACATGTACGTGGTGACCACAATCGTGCTCATTTTAAGTTGGGTCATGTTGAGTGAACCACAATC